CATTTACAGTTGACCACAGGACAAAATGCAAATTAAATTACAAAAACAATGTTTAAAGTGCCAACTCCAGTATGACAAATAAATAAAATTAAGTTTTTGTTGTTTAGGGTTTTATAAATAAAAAAGCTTGAATATGCCATGTAGTAAAGATACTGTAAAGTAAAAATGCTAAAGCCATAAAAATGACGTGTTGACTGAATCTCTAATTGAAGTCCAGGATGTTGACAGCTGTTTGCAGATGTCCTACAGGTTCAAGACTTTTGATTTGAAAATAAACTGAAAGAAATATAATTTTTAAAGGATTTTATTTTCTTTTATTGTTTTACTTTCTTTACCTGGAAGCAAAACTGCGGTAACATGAAAACATTAAAGTTGCAGGAGGGTGGCTCAACGTACATTTATTCTCGCGATTTTGTTTAGTTTGAAACAGTTTATTTTTCTATTCAAAGGAAAACTGCTGCTGCAAATTTTATTTATTGTTTTTTTTTCTCCCTTAGGGAAGAAATGAAACTGACAATCATTTAGATCTCATGATCTTTAATTGTTTTTGAGTTTTGAGATGTCTTTCATTGTTTGCACTGAAAGAAACCTTAATCTGAACAACGGCTACTAATCTGCATTTAGATCATTTCAGTAAAAGAAAAAGCGGGTTTTATATTTGTGCTTTGACAGGTGCTTTCACTTTAAACAACCTCTCTGGGTAAATGTTGTCATTTTAAACCAATCTATTCATCTTTAAACATTTGTTTCTCTAGATGTTTAATGCAGAGTTTACAGTTTGTCTTGTTAAAGTGGTTTACTGCTCTCCGCCCAGTCACCTTTTCTTTCACTGTCTAACAGTGTTTCCCCTACCATTATACAGACGGGGCGGCCCCCCACCACCAACGAGACGGCCCGCCCCTCTAAGAATTTCACGGCATGTAGTCATTTTTACTTAAATAAGTCCAGAACAAGTCAAGAGTTATTTTTTGCGTCCCTCCATATCCACCTCTCAGCAAACTTGGGGAAAAAGACGGCGCAGAGCGAGGCTGAGCGCTGTGTGTGGTCCTCACAAAGATAGGAAGACGTGTGTGTGATTAGACGCGCAGCTCTGCTTTTAATCATGTTGCACCGATGCAACAGCTTTGTACGCTACTTTTTCTTTCTATAAAAGAAAATGTGACAGGTGAAGCCACAGCATGGTTAC